GCCTCTATTCCTTTTAATTGGAATGATAAATACTTTTGATCGGCTAAACGATCTTCCGCTAATTAATTTTTCTCTATAATATATTAAACTATCGTAGCCTTGCATCATTCATTGGAATAATAAATACAATTGATTCGGAAACCTAATTTTTTATTAATTAAAATTTGCCCTCGACCCTATTTCGATTGATTGACTAAGGCACTTGAGAACACTCAAAAAAAGCAAAATGTAACTAACAATAAAAAAGGTATTAATAATGAAGCCACTGAGTATTCAAGAGCTTTAAGATCAAAAACACACGGAGAGTATAAAATAGCATTGGAAATAATAAATAAACTACTTGATGGTGAAGATAAAAATATCAAATCTCATGCTGAAATATTAAAGAAAAAAATTAATTATATGTATAAAATCGAGACAATTGGAAAGTGACGCATTTCGAAAATAAATAAAATTTTTTCAATAGTATTTTTTACTATGTTGAATTATAAATCGAAAAAATAAAATAAGATTAGTAAGTATCTATAATTTACATTAAACTGTACAGTATTGTATAAAAATAGAGACCTTGAAGATAACTCCATAGTATTATTTTTGTATTATCTTTAAAATCCCAATGGTTTAACGTAAATTATGGATGTCCCCTTATTATCTCTATAACTATTAAAAGGATCGGTTGTAGGATTTGAAGTTGTGGACTGAATCAAGAAAACAAATGCCAAATAAAAATTTGCCTATTTTAAGCAAAAAATAAATAAAAATAAAATGAATAAAATAAACAAATAAATAAATATCAATCTTAAGCTTTATCATATTTACCAAAGAAAACCAGTTAAAGATTAATTGTATACCATTAGCGGCTGTCCAGATCTCCAAACATGAGTAAATTTGGCAATAGAATAGAACGTAGTAAAGAAAGATCCATTCAACCAGCAACGATGTTGGGAAATAAATTCAGGCACATTGTTCTGGGACATCAGTTTTTGCTTTAGCTGACTAAATAATAAAAATTTGAATGTGTAAATATTTAAATAAAATAATTATACTCAATGGTTGCACGAAATATTTAAATTTTATAGAGCTATTCAAATATCATTTCAAATCTCATTACTGTAAAAAGTTTTAGTGCTATGAAAAATGAAATTATATATTATAAAATTTCATTTTTCAAATCGCTAAAATTTTACAGTGATGAGATTTTGAAATAATATTTGGCATACATGTAGAGCTGATTCGAATACAGAGTGTCTTACATAACAGGTTTGCCATAATCCATATTTAAACTTTTTCATTAGAGCAAATGACTTATTTTAGAATGTTGTTCATGAATAACTTGGTTTGAATGTTTAAAAATACCTACTATATATCGCGATTAATGATCAATTAATACTGTCAAAAATCTAAACTAGAATAAATTTTTTACTTTGGAATAGTTTACAGACAAAGATTAAAGTGTTGTTAACTAATTCTTGTAATTTACATTAAGAAAAGATCTGTTATCCGTTTTCTTTCATACAATTTAAATTATCACCCCATACAAAAATGTTTTTCAAACATATAATCTGGAGTCTACTGTAAACACGGTCTTTTGTTCAAATGTTATCTTAAAAAACAGTACTTTTACGAATAAAGTATACCATGATGATTATTGAATTTCAATTGGAATTTTTTACATAATTATGTGTAAAATTTATTCTTAATTATATTATTACATAATTTAATCGCCATTCGATCAAAAAAAAAAACTATTTTTAGAATTTATTAATGACGTGTACTAAAGTTTATGATTGACTATAATTATAATACAATAATTTCTATTCCTCTTCAATGAAGTGACATGTGTAAAATTCGATTAGAAATATAAAAGCAACTAACCAGGACACACTTATGCGCGTAATTTTTTTGTAATTTAAACGACAGTTAATTAAATTCTTGAAACAAAAACAATTTTGAACAAAAAGTTCTTGCGCTAATGCGCTTCCTCACAAAGCATCAAGTTTATTAGTTGAAAAATCCAAGGTAGTTAAAGTGTTATTTTTAAGAAGAGCATCTGCTAATGCTCTCTTGTCACAAACTCGAATTTTTTCAACGTATATTGATTTGCTTATAGTCGACATAAAGTATTTATTCATCTTGTCAAAAAATAACTTTATGTTGCTTTCAATTAAGAGTTTATTAAAAAATGCAGTCCTGCCTCTCATGTAATAAACAAATAAGTCATTTTTTATTTTTTTCTTGTCAGCATAATCATTAAAAAACTCTTCTTTTAGATAATCAATTAACTCATATTCGCTAATATACATTATAATGTTTTTGCTATTTTCATAGTTTATAAATAGTTCCAATCTGTTATAACCATTTTCCATCTTGGTTGAATTATTAACAATGAGTATACAATTGGCTTTATCTTTTATTATTTTGTATAGTTTCTGAAAATCTTGATTATTCAAAATTCTTTTATTCCAAACAAAAGTTTACGTAAGAATGTATCGTAACAGATTTCAAAAGAAGAATATTCAGGGGTAGCATTAATAGAATTAATAATCTTAAGACCATGTATTTGTAATAAATTTTTTACATAAGAGAAAAAATTTTTGACTAACACAGACATGATAAATATTCAAAAGATATACTGTATTCTACAATTTTCCTTATTTAAATAAAAATTTTACTTTTATTTTTAATGTAAAGATCTTTATTATTTTAACATTCTCAATCAATTATAAATTTTCTTTTTTTTTTTAAATAAAAATGAAAAATACAATAAAAATTTCAAGAAAGTTAATTTTTTAAACTCTTGCCAATTGATTGTCTAGGTCTAGCTTTATTCATGATTAAAAAAATATACGATCAATTTAATTAATTTGATTATGTACTTGGCTTTCTGAGAAATAATATAAAAAAAAAAAAAACTAAATTGAATTTCATATTGAATTGTTTAAAAGGGCAACTTTAATTAAATTAATTGACATATTTGATTGTTAATTTTAATACTAAAATAAAACGGATAGTGAATGCCCAATTACACACAGGTTCGCAGAAGGCACGGGATTTAGATATAAACGCATGTGTTAAACTGGGTAAGTAGTGAGGTTTTTGAAAAATAATGAAGA